GGGGGGGAACCCCCATACCCCCCGGGGGGGCCGAAACCGGGGTTTTGGTTTTTTAAAAGGGGGTTTTTATGCCGAGGCCTTTCCCGTAAGGGGTTTGGGGTCAACCCGTAAAAGCCATTGGGGAAAAGGTGGGGCAATCCGGGGTTTAATGTTTCCCCCCCCCCCCCCCCCCCGGGTGGGGCCAAGCCGAAAAACATTTGGGGCCCGCAGTTTTTTAATCGGTATAACCCCCAAAGGTTAAAAATTGGGTGGAGAAACCCGACGGGGGGTGTTGTTGTTTTGTTTTGAGGGGAACGTTTTTTTTTTCCATGTTTTTGACCAAAAAAAAACCCCCGGGTCCAACAAGTTTTGTCAACGGGGCATGGGAAAAAATATTCATGGGGCACTGCTGGTGGTGGTGGTGCTGCTGCTGGTGCTGTCGCTCCTTCCCACTTTTTTCCAAAAAAATGATCCTGCTTGCCCCCCCCCCCCCCGGGTGGTTTCTTCCTCACTTTCTTACTCCTGCTTGCTCTTCCCCCCCAGCTGTAGCAGTGCTGCTGCTGCTGCTGGTGTCATTTCTTCCCACTTCTTACCTTACATCGACTCCTGCTTGTCCGTCCTTGCGCGTGTGCCTCCCACGGAGAAAGGGTGCGCAGGTGGAAGCGGCAGCAGCACCGGCGGCCGCCGCAGCACAAGCACCGCAAGAGCTGGACCCCGCCCCCGCTGCCGCGCCGACCCTGCCGATCGGCTTCCCCTCCAAGATCTCCGAAAGGCCCGAAGAAGAGAGCGGGGCCTCATCCGGGGCAACAACGGTCTCTTCGACGGGAGCGGCGCTGCCGATGACGGCGGCCTTCCGCCCGTTGGCGGCAAGCGGTCCTCAGGACGGGCAAGGACCCGCCGCAGACGCCGCCGCAGACGCCGCCGCAGACGCCGCCGCTGACACCGGCGGTAGGGCTTGCGGACCGGTTGAACACGGAGACGAGGCGCCGCCTCCGCTCAACCCTCTGCCCGGCGGGCACTATGAGCACGGGTTCTTGGACGATTCTGACCGGAGCGTGGACGTGCGCGGGAACGGCGACGAACACGCCGCCCCGACCGGCTGGAACGCCCCCTTCATCCCGGGCGCCGCCACGAGCGGCGAGGGCGCGGCCGCCGACAGCGCCGGCCCACCAAGTGGAAGCCCTGCCCCCACCGCTGCTGCCGCAGCGTCAAGTCTCACATTCCGCCGCAAAGTACCGCAGACTCCTCCGCTCCGCGGGACCCCCGGCAGGAGGACGCAAGGAGGAGGCGGAAGGGGGGGAGGGGGGGGGGGGGGCCACTGGCCCGGGAGGGGCATGCCCGGGAGGGAGGGGGACCGGGACCCCACCACGGGGGGTTAACAACCCAAAGTGAAAACCTTTGCTTTTGCAGAGTTCGGGGGGGCGCAGAAATGCTTCTACTTGTTCGACAAAAACCGCTTTTGAGGTGGTGTGTACGAACAAAGCCCGCCCCCAATTAAATAAAATTTGTTGTTTAAACAAACTTGGGAGGGGATCAAGTAAAAAAATTCTGGCTCGGTGTTTTCTGGAAATTTTTAAAAGATGCACCTTGTGCTACCCCCGGTAAAAATCCCCCAATTAAAACCCCAAAGGGGGCCCAAAAACCGACATCCCGGCCCAAACTGTGATACATT